CATATAGAATAATACTATACTATTAGCACTTAGTAAATAACGTAGAATTTTAGTAAAAAAATATAATGATAATCAATAATATACGTACTTGACAAAGTAGATTTTTGACACTCAAAATAAGTCGAGATACGTTGAACACGTCGAACACGTTGAGACTGAGACACTACTGAAACACGTCGAGACACGTCAAAGTAATAGCAACAAATGACGATCTGCGTAGTAGCGCTCATTTCTGCGTTATAAGAATAAATCAACATACTTTTTCTGTGAATTTTAACAGATAAATCCTGTCACTAATAGTACGTAACATATCTATTGTGTAAAATTAAAAAATATGTGCACATTATGTTATTTTTATACTTTTTCTTAGTTGTTTTCATAATTTAACACTTGAGATCAATTAACACAACAGCAATATGTTAAATTAACATATGAATGTGTTACATATTTAACACAAAAATTTTAACCGGCATATTTTTTAACAAGAAAACACAAATTTTCCAACTGTGCAATAATCAAAAAATAAAATTTTTTATTACTTGATTAATCGGTAATCAAAGCGAAAAATTATTTAATTACTTTATCAATCAGTAATCAGAAAATAAAATTTTTGATTACTTGAATAATCGGTAATCAGGAGGAAATAATTTCAATTACTTTACTTTATCGATCAGCATAATTGAATATTTTTTGGTTACTTGATTAATCGGTAATCAGAAGGAAATAATTTCAATTACTCAATAATCAAGATCTGATGTTTCTTGATTATTTTAGTTAATTAATAATCAGCGCAAGGCAGCAATTACATAGAGAAATAAGGAATAAATTCAACGAAATATTTTTCTAATAAAATTAATTGAATTAATTAGAACTTTTTATGACTAATAAAGGAATAGTTTAATTAACAAAATAATTTCTCCGTTTTCAATAAACTAATATATTTAATGTGAATGAAAGTCTGCGTTTATTTTAAAAAATATTTTGCAAGATCCAGTGATTGCTTCTTTCAATGCAATATCTAAAGTAAATATTTAGTGAATGATATATAAAGAAATATGCCAAATTGATGAGATTGACAGAGGCACAATATTAATATAAGTATATTTTTAGTATGAGTAATTTTTATTTTTTACGTTCTCCTAAAGATACAATTCACTTTTAACAGTACATATTGAATATAGTTATCTTTATTTTGTATTTTATATAACTGAAATGATATATACTCTTATTATTACAGTTATTATCATATAAAATACAAAATAAAGATAACTATTTATTCAATATATGTGTATATATTAATTAATTGATTAATTAGTTATTTTGTATTTACTACATAAAAATAAAAATAAGAAAAATATTTGACATTTTTCTTCAGTGATATATATATAGTATTATATGTATATTTTTTATTTATTACTTTGTCATATTTAATTTATATTTATTTGACATCTTGTATACGCCTATGTCATCTCGTACATTATATTGCAGCCTTACGACGAAATTTCAGTCGACGAACAATCGCAAGCGTCGTTTGTTTAAGGCACTAGATATGTAGGTATTCTCATCCGCATTTTGGTCCTA